TGAATCCAAATTGACCCCGGTAAGCTCGGAGAAAAGTTTGAACATTGATCAGAATTTTTCTCAACTTCGAATTACCTTTCATTCGCCAATTTTGGTTCGATAGTACGGAGTACTGATTGATTGTATTACTAACTTAACTTACAATTACAGCGATAGGTATTGTACGTTTATTTAAATTCTAAATTCAACGCGCTATTCTGTCAGAATAGTGTTTTATTTGTTAAATATTTAAATGAAAAATTTAGTAATTTTAGTCCTTCCGTAGTGAGACACCTTGCAGTTTTTTTCAAATATAATATTATATGTTATTACAAATTTTCTCATAATTTCTGTACGAATTTTTAATAGTAATTTCAAAGACAGTCTAACTCCTTAATACTAATTTCAAAGACGGTCAAGTGTAAAAATTTTCTCACAATTTCTACACTAATTTTTAATACCAATTTCAAAGACAGTCTAACTCCTTAATACTAATTACTAAGACGGCCTAATTCTTTAATACTAATTTCAAGGACAGTCTAATTCCTTAATACTAATTTCAAGGACAGTCTATACTAATTTTTAATACTAACTTCAAAGAAAATGTTGTATAGAAATTTTCTCACAATTTCTACACTAACTTTTAATACCAATTTCAAAGACACAGTTTAATTCTTTATATCCTGACTTAGGAATTGAACGATTGGCTAGAATCAGCTGATCACGGATTAGTGTACTTCACGCTGGGCTCATTGATGAATATCGAAACTCTTCCAAAAGACACGTTGCTGGATTTGTACAGGTCTTTCGCGAAAATTTCACCAGTGAAAGTTTTAATGAGGTGTACCGACACAACAAAATTACCACCCGGTCTTCCCAGCAACGTAATCACGTCACCTTGGATTCCCCAGATTGCAGTGTTGAGTAAGTGAAAGATATTGATATCGAGTCTACGAAACTCAACATCCACCTGTCAAACACTCTAGCAATAAATAATCACCGTGCAAAAATATTTCGAGTCACCGCACTCAAGTGTCTCCACAGAACCAATTTCCATCAAGTTTTAGTTATCGCCTTTTCTTTTTTTAATTATATTAATTGACGTTAATCAGTTATTGAAACCATCACACGTATATGCTGTTACGGGATGAAAGAATATTTTTCTGTTAACGTGAAAATGTTTAAATATTATTATTTTTCATAGGACACAGAAATACGCGAGTATTCATAACGCACGGTGGTCTTATGGGGGTCGAAGAAGCGGTGCATTACGGTGTTCCTATGATAGGAATACCGGTATTCTCAGACCAAATGAGGAATATTAATATCATGGTGCACAAGAATATGGGAGTTTTGTTGCCTATAAAAAATATTAGGGAACGTTCCATGGATGCTGCGTTAAACGCACTTCTACACGATCCTAAGTATTTGTAAGCATTTTTTAATTACTAACTGTCCTAATAGAATTAATCATTCTTTATAATTGTAAATACGATTTTTCTTCAATTGGCAATTTCAATTAAAAGCACGAGCTGAATTCTTCACACTCTGATCTTCCTTTGCACGCAATTTTCACAAGCATCCAGTCGAAGAAGATTAACTTCCTTTATTCAATGAAAAATTTATTTTTCGAAATTTCAGTCGTGAATTCTTCAATAATTTCCTTTTCCTTTGTTATTACATTAACGACAATTCCAGTTACGCAATTTCAACTTTCAAAAATGCGAAATATTGAAAATGTAAGAATGTCGAGGGTTTATATTTCACTTTTCCTCCCAGGGAATCAGCTAGGAAGATGTCTGTAGTGTTTAGAGATCGACCAATAACCGCACTGGATACCGCAATTTATTGGATCGAGTACGTGATCAGAAATGGTCCAGATTCTTTGAAATCCCCGACGACGAACATGTCCTGGTGGAAATTAAACTTAATCGACGTTTTTGCTTTCTTAATAACTTGCTTTGTCCTTGCCTCCTATTGTCTCGTGATTCTCATCAAAGGTACGTTGAAGAAATTTAAAAAATTCTGCGGAAGAAAGGCTGTACCGAAGAGGAAATCGAATTAGACGATTAGTTCTACAAGCCTGAATAAATCTATACGAAATTGAATGCAATGTTGTTTTTATCGAATATCGTTAGATCTCCCTTTTTTCATTTTCCCTCTCTTCTTTTTCTCTCCTTTTTCTCTCTCTGCCCATTCTCTCTTTCTCTCCTTTTTCTCTCTGCCCATTCTCTCTTTTTCTCCCTCTCTCTCCCTTCTTTCTCTATTTTTCTCTATCTCTCTCCCTTTTTTCTCTCTCGCTCTCCTTCTCTCTCTGTCTGCAGAATCACAATATCCTCATATCGCCGTTCAAATTATCCTCATACATGCACCACGAATATAACTTCCCTCGGACGGTTCTACGCCACAGCGTTTTCTCAAGGTGTCAGCCAACGCTGCGCGTCAGAACCGTGAAGCACTAGCAATATATGTATAAGTCAACTTAAAGAGCATCAAGCAGCACATATCTAACTGAAACTGACACGCGATGAAAAACAAATTGAATAATGACAAACGCGTCGAAGCTTTTCCTATCCACGATTTCAAGCTCTGGTTAAGAGTGGGATATACAGGGATTACGCCATCGTCCATTGCTATGACCGGCGTGTGCATAATATATACGCGTTTCCTGCAGGTCGTGCAAGATTAAATTGGCCAGTGACGTCTTGATTATTGGAAGCTGCGCAGCAATGCATAAATAGCGATCGTCTGTACAGACTCTTCACGAAACGTCCAACCATTTTCTAAATCGAATCGCCTATTCCCTTTAACGATTTCCATCGATACAATGAAATTTCAACGATGGAAGAACAATTCGCTGGCTAATAATCGAAATATCGAATTTCATTTCAAGGATCCAACTTTTTGGTCTTTAACCCTTTCACTACTATTGGCGCCTATAGGCGCTTTGAAAATTACCTCGTATCGTGCTATTGGAGCCTTTTGGTGCACTTCTATGTACATTCAAGCGTTAATTTGATCCTCTGCACTCTTCCACGTTAATTCAGTGAAACAAATTTTAAAATGACACGGCTAAAAAAGAAAGTTTGCCGCCGTTGTGGAATATTTGAATTTGCCATGCGCGTTCTGTACTAAAATTTGCCATAGCCAAAGGGTTAATTAGAAAAATAGTAATAATTACTATCATTAATTCAAAGAATATCTCAGACATTGTCGTTACATTGGCGACAGAGTACTTGACCCAAGGTACGACGCAGCAGTATGTCAATTTCAACAACAAATTTATTTCTAACCACAGGCTATAGAGGGTGTCTCTTAGAATAAGCTGTAGCTTTGTAAAAGGGTTGAAAATGGAAGATTCTTTCATAATGTAAGACTAAACTTATATCTTTCAATGACGAATTTATTCAAACCTTATTACAATCCTTAACCATAAACTATACAGGGTGTCCCTTAGAATAAGCTGTATCTCTGTAAAAGGGTTGAAATGGAAAATATTTCCCTGATACAAGATTAAGTTTAAGAATTACTTTTATTTCAGGATTTCGTGAATTATTATATCAACACTCTTACACCATTTTGTCCATACAAACTATTGTCACCCTATATAAACATATCTGTACACCAAAATAATTGAACAAACTTGAAGGTGAGACGCAAGTATCTTAGATACTTTCTTGTAAAAAGTGAGAAACTTCAGAAACAAGTGTGACAAAAATACATACAGTGATGCAAAAGTATGCAGAATCGAAAATTATGCAATTCTACATTACACTTTGTCTTCAAGTTTGACCAAGATGTACACACGAAATCTTTCTATTGTTCATCGCCCTTTGTCGGCCAGTTCAAAGGAATTTTCAAACAGTTGACAAGGCTTATAACGGGCCATGAAGCAACAGAGCGATCCGTAGTCTAATTAGTTTAATTTCGCTGATAACAAAGTTCCAAAATTTCCCATCAAATATGCCAACAAAGAGTGAACCGAGTGACCATCAACGCAAGTTAATTCATAAGAAAAAAAGGAAGAAAACAGGTTAAAAATCAGATATAAATTGCCGTAATGGTCAAATGTATGGACAAAATTAATAAAAAAAAATATAACTCAATTTCCCTCTAATACAAAAATATTTCTAAACAATTCATACATCACAGGGTGCTCAATACTGTTATCCTAAGCTGTACACACGAGACACCCCATTGACTATTTACCGGAGAGCAATCGAACGACATTTGACCCACGCCGAACCGTTCAATTCCTGAAACCACCAACATCAAACGCGTCGAAATGAAACAGGCGACGAACCAGCGGCAGTACAATTCCTCTAAGCATCGTTCTAATAGAATGCAACCGTACATTAATGTCGTAACAGTGCGCTGTTCTCGATGGCTCAAGTTCAAGTTTAACAGAGCTCTATAGCCTCTTTCTCAGCCTTGACAAACTCTACCATGCCAGCGTCCAAACGATATTAATAAAACCGCGTTTCGCACATGCTAGACGATCTGAAAACACCGGCGGAGGAAGAAAAATTCCAAGTAACCTCTTTCGCGTATGAAAATCGTGTGCGAACGAAACACACGGCGCACAGTTCGTCGGGATCGTCCGACGCGAAAAGGTGCTCGAAGGTTTAATCTACACGAGCATCGTTGAAGATTAATCAAGCAACAAAGTAAACCAGGCAAGCAGACACCTATGCGGACAAATATTATTGTTACGCATCATCGCACGTCCGCCCTAACGCGAGCAGATATCTGGCAAACTCAATTGCTCTTCGCTTAGATATCGCGCTCCCCAATCGCGGCTGACACAAGTTCGACCACTGGACGGGCTGAATTTATCTACGATGCTCCAAGCAGGTTCAGTCAGTCATGTCAGCGTGATCGTCTCGTGATATGTGCAAAAGCTCGTGTACGGCCAGTTTTGTTCCAGTAGAGAAGCTTCACTCGAATCATCGTTTCGGTTAGGCAGAAGGACTCATAGTTCCTACGTGTGAATTAAAGATCTCTTGTTTTGTTTTTGTTTTTTCGTTTTGAAGAAGAAATTGTAATAATCTTCGTTGTATCTGAAGTTTCTAAGTGGGGAATAGTATATTCACACGAACTTGAACTAACCGTAAGATCGTCGATAAGTTGTAGGAAATAGACGAGATCAATTCAGACCGATTGAAAGTTTCAAGTGAGGAGTGAATCGAAGAGGAGTTGACAATGAAGCTGTTATCAATTGTGCTCCTTTGCACGATACTGTCTGTATGCCACGGATACAGGATACTAGGGGTGTTTCCCTTTAATGGAAAGAGTCATTTCATGATGTTCGAACAGCTGATGAAGGCTCTGGCTAAAAGAGGCCACCAGGTAGACGTGATCAGCTCGTTTCCTTTGAAGAAACCGTATCCGAATTACAACGATACGATAGTACTGAAGGCGCCAAGGGAGTTTATGAACAATATGACTTATGAAGATGTGACTATAGTGTTCAAAGATTCACCTGCTTTCGTTGTGGCTACATTGGCGGGGAATGCTGTTTGCGAGCATCTGAACGATCCAGGGATTCAAGATCTTATACACAATCCGCCTAAGAATCCGCCCTATGATGTAATTGTGATGGAGGTAATACTTTTGTAATTATTTTCTTTTTGGAATGGCTGGATTTTTCTGATTAGATATCTTTTATCTTCTTTTTTCTTTTGGTGTGTTGGAAGTTTGGAGTTCTTTTCTTGGTTGAAAGGGTTGTTGTGTGGATTTTGTTTTGGAATCATCTTTTGGATCTCTTGAACCGGCCAACTTTTTATATTAGAATTCTGGAAATTTTCTGTCGTTAAATGTTTGAATTTGTGACTTCGTAAATTTTCGAGTTCTTGATTTTCTCATTCTTAAATTTGAGATCTTGATTTCCTCAATTTTTCATTTTCAATTCTTCATTTTCTGAACTTTCGAATTTCTCATATTAGGATTCTGCAAACGTTCTATTTTCAAATCCCCGAATTCTTCATTTCCTGAATTTCTCATTTTGTGAATTTTTCAATTTTTCACACTAAAATCCTACAAATTTTCAAACATTAAATATTTCAATTTCCAAGTTTTCGTATTCTCGAATATCTGAACTTTTCAATTTTTCATATTAGTATTTTAAAACTTTTTGCGGTCAACTCGGTTCTACTAACAACTAATAAACTGTAATTAAGATCACTGATATCGTTAAAATGACGTTAAGACCTCGACATTGGTACAATCACTATGGACGTTGAACGAGTTCCTAAAAGGTTTGCATAAAAATTACACAGTTTGACGACGTCGAAGTGCAGTTTTCGAAAGACTATTCAGAAAATAGCAAATTCACCTCGTGTTTGGAGTACTGTAGATTTTACGCTGCGAATTGAAGTTTCATAGCTTTCGAAAGTATGTTTCAAACGCACGAAATAGAATTTATTCCGGAAAGTTACTAAAAACCAAGTGTATTCTTTCATAAAGGAATATTTCGGAAGGTATAATGTAAACAGAAGTGTTTCAAGCCACACTGAAATGGTTTCACTCGAGATACACGAGGAACAAGCTTGACAGTAATATTGTACTTAGAAATAAACATCGGATTTACTGTTTGCTTTCACTATTTACGTTCTTCACGTGTCAAGTTTAAACCGACTTGTGTATCGTTCTCTAACGACTTCAGTTGACTCGTAATGAAAATTTCCATACTTTTCCACACAAAATTCAACGTATCTCAATATAATTCTATTCCATTTGTGAATTAGAAAAGAATCATGTTCTGATAAAACTAACAAGTACCTTATACAATGTCGAGAAACAGAAATAGAAATTTCTTCGAAAAAAAGAAAATCGAAAATTACCAATAAAAAATGGAAACGAAGAAAATTAATATGAACGTTACGCTTAAGGAGAAGTTAAACGTTTTATTAGCTATAGAACAAGTCTCTCATAAAACGTGCTTATGTCATGCAATGTGTGTCCAGTCTTCGTTTCATACCTAACATTTTGATAACGCTGTTGCATAACGTATTGCAGACAGTTACGTCACGAGTTACCAATAAAATTTAACAATTCTGCCGTCCGAGGGATAGATATTCTTCGTTTATGTCAAAAATTTTCACGACACTTATTAACCCGGTGCCTCGTTGCAGTATCGATTACGATTGAAATTTGACGGAACCAGGTTATACACGTATAATAATTACAGTGCTAATTCAGGAAATTCTATGAAAATATCTTCCATCATCAAGGCTTTCATGAAGACACAGCTTACTGCAGCTTTTAATTGGAATTTATACAATTTTACAGCCGGTAGAAAATCACAAATTTTAGATTTAATCTTCGTGAAACAATTCTGAAAGAATCTTTCAACTACATTCGATTATTCAATTATTCAATTTCTCCTGTAACAAACTTCGATTTCAATTTCAATTACATTTTCGAGTGAATTTTCACCAAACAATTCTGAGGGATTCTTTCAATATTTTTCCAATTTTAATTCTACCAATTCCACGAATAAATTTTACAATCGAAAATGAACATTGCAGGTGTCTATAGAGGAACAATTTCAGAGCTGCATCGGTTTCATTCAATCTGGAAGTTTCTCACAATTTGGCTGTTAGTAGCAAGAAAGTCCGCTTTATGAAATATCGTAGAAGTAGGAGGTAGATAGACGGTAATCTGGGAAATTCAATGTTCTGAGTACACTACTATATACGTATATAGTAAGCAATAAAATTGCAGACGAGAGAATGGGCGGGGAATATTGCCCTCGGAGACGAAGTCGAACGAAGAAAGGGCGGAGATTTTGATA